TTTTGCACGGCGCCTCGTTGCTCCCTTGACTCGGTTCGTCTATAACTCGAAGTTCTGCTTCCTCCAATGGCTCTGGCCATGTCTCCAATGGCACTTCTCTATGCTCCCACTCTCTACCAAGGCGAGCTACAACATCATACATGTTCATGGACGGGTGATCCAGAAAAATGATCGGGTTATTCCTCAGGTGCTCTTCGTGCATTCTCTCAATCATTGACTTCCATGGCAGGGGTAGGATTTGAATAAGTTTTTCGACACCATCGTTATGACCGACAATGAGGTCTTCCCCCTCTTGCAGGGTAAACCAAAAATCAAACACCTCCTGGACACTGCTCCTAAAATCATGAGATCGCAAAGGTTTGAAGTCCCAAAATTCTTTGCTTTTCGTTCGATGTTCTTCCAACATTAAACCCTAAGAGTCGTCGCTGTCCGAGCTCGAGTCACTACTTGAATTATCCGACTGCATTTCGTATGATGGGATCTCGTACGATACTAAGGAAGGAACTTGGTTCTTCGATTGGGACCCAGAAACTAAATCAGCGACCTCAGGTGGCTAACGCTTGGCCTCGGCTCGTTCTTGCACGGTTGAACACGGTCGGGTCTCTCGTGACGATACATGGCAGCGACTGGACACAGAAAAATCGGTTGGCCCGCGGATAGATGAGGCGGACACGAAAAACGAGCGGCAGGAAGCGAACGAGTGGCCCGAGCCGAGATTCACGACGGGAAGCTTCGGCGGCGTTGCTGCTCCACGTGGTCGGTCGCGGGGTCGGTGAAGATGCTGAGAAGTTGACGCTACTCAGCGGTGGCCGGACGTGGACGAGGGTTGCGGACGGTTGGTTGCTTACGCGAGTTGTCGACGATTGGGCGGCCTAAAGCGGTGGCGCGAACAGCGGGACTGGTTCCTGCTCGCGGTGGTTGCAGCGGCGGAAGAGGGTGTCGGATTGAGGCTCGTGTGGTGGCAGGTGGTCGCTCATCAGGGAGGAAGGACTGCCGAGGGCTGTGCGTGAATTGGAGGGCCGCTGCTTTCTCGCCGGGGTTGTCTGCTCGCGGTGGCGGCGGCGTGTGCGGAAGAGGCGGTTGCCGGCGTTGTGCGTTTGCCGGGAGAGAGAGGTGAGGAGCAATCGGCTTGGGAGAGGGAGATGAGGAACGCGGCTGGGGGGTGTAGGGTTTTACGTCTCATCTCTTGAGGGAGAAGAAAAATACATATATATATATATATATATTTTATATTTTTAACTAGGGTCATAGCAATTTTTCCACACAAGGAAAGGGTCGGGCGCGCGGGTTTCTGGCTAAAGGGCGCGGGTCGAAGGCCATAATATAAGGCTCGATTCTCGGTTATCCATCTCGGTTCACTTAGTCCGAATAATTTGACGACGTTCGGAAAAATAAAATATGACGACCGAGATAAATTAAAAATAGCTCGACCGGCAATATATATATTATCACACATTAATTTATATATATATGACTCAAATCATATTATCACTTTGGCAATTAACTTCAAATAATAATAATTATGCCAATAAAAATATCCGAAAAATTCAATAATCGAACAGGGCATTACACTCGAGTCACTAGTGACCAAGCCGAAGCACTCGTGTCACTAGCGACCGACCGGCTCATGGCGAGCCGACGGTCCAAGTCAGTGGACCGGTCCGTTTAACCGGTCGGTTCGAGATATCTGGTTCTATATTTCGGTCCGAGTTTGTACCGAGATTTTTAGCATTTTTCAAAATCGAATCAGTCCAGTTTACATCAGATATTTTAATTACGGACTTAAAATATTTTTACAAGAACCTTAGAGTGTTCCTTTAAAATACAGGTTTAAAATGAGCTTAGAACCGAGCCAAAGTCAGTTTACCATATAACAACATCTTAGTATTTTATTAAGTCTTTCAAGCATAAGACTTATCATATTTTATTAAATTTTGTGTAGCTTGAGGAGTCGAGCCTCAGCATTTCCTACTACTCAGCAAAAAGGCGGGAACCTGTACTGGGTATTATAATGGTTATAAAAGCATGTACCCAGTCTAAGGTATGTACGTAAGTGTTTTGCCCCGATTAGTGGGAAACGACAGTTTAGGTCTGTACGAGTAATCACCTGAGTACGTTCCAGTGGGATCCAGTATTTTTATTTTTCCATCGGAGTGTGCACATGATTTATCGGCCGATGTGTCCGAAAGCCAGTAAAAATTAAGTTATATGCATATATACCAAATTCATGATATTATGATTATTATTGTTGTTTGCATGAATACTGGTTTCGACGGAGTACCATGATTATGTACTCACGCCCCATTAATTATGATTTTCAGGAAACAGAGTCGAGCGGGCAGGCTGAGGCGGTGGATGTGGTCAGGCCTCAGTTGGCTAAATAAGGACATTTTTCTGTTTGTATTGAATAATGATACTCGATGAACTATGTTTACATTTCGGCTATTTCTGCTGTTGAATATTACATGTTGTGTTTAAATAATTTTTATTTCAATCTTTCCCGATGTGTGATCTGGGTCGAATAATTCAATAACAGACGATAAAGTTTTCTTGATGCCCTAAGTCAGCATCTTAGGCCCAATTAAAAGGAAATGGGTTTTTTTAGAAAAGAAAAGGTAACAACCCGAGAAAAGTAAAGTATTTTCAAAAATTTTATCAGTATATTTCGAAAAGCGAAAATTTTACTTTGATATTTCAAGCATTTAAAATCGGGTTGTTACATCAGGTTCTCGGTTCCGGTAGGGTCGTCGAGTCTCCAATGGGTGGTTGATCCGCACACGATCACGATCAAAATTTAATAAAAACAAAAATATTACAATTTTGATCCTAGACTTGTGAATGGGTTTGCATGTTTGTCTAATAAAGCGAATAAATGAATCCGATGTCTCACTCGACGAATAATTATTACAATTATTCAACCATCATCGTCGACATGCCCGAGGCTTTAAAAACAAACACCATGCAATTAAAAATAAATTAAATTGCTCTATCACATTCAAGCACATAATTTCACATATGTCATAATAGTGGATTAAACTACTCCTGCAAAACCAAGTTATGCGTATATATAATCCAATTTTATGGCTGCGCTTGAACACACATAATTCACTTAAGTCTTAAAATGTTGAACTTTGCACAAAAACGCATTAAACGTGATAGCTATGATACTACTTGTTGGGATCATTAAGGATAGTCGTTAATGTAAATTTAACTACAAAAATACCTATACGTAGCGGATCTATAGGTAAAAGTAGAAGACTAACAATTTATTATTGTTGCCAACTCTGAGACATTGTAGATTTCTTTTGAAGGAGATCGTTTGATAACAAAGTCGTTGGGAAGTCGGACGGGCCTTCACGGTTGTCGCAGGTCACGTGGGTGTGCGGACGGGATCGCAATCAGAGCAGGGATGCGCGTCTAGGCTGGTGTCGGATTGAGCTGGGCGCGAGGATGTCGTGGGCTCCACGAGGTCACACAATGATGGTCTTGGCAGGACTGGGCAGCGACGGGTGGCCGAGGACGTCGAGTCATCGTGGTTCGCGTTGGTGCACGGTGTTCGAGTGCTAGCCGACGGTGGTAGGGTACTCGGGTTTTTCGGACGCTCGACTACCTTGGATTTTCTATTGGATTACCTAACACCTCTAGAACTCCTTTGGTAGAAAGGAGTAGCTACGTACTCTACGTGTGTTATGTCTGCAAGTCTAGAAAAAAAAAGGTGTATTTATAAGTTCCAATTGGGACCCCAATGAGACATTAAATTGGGATTCTCCAATTAGGACAAGGCTATAGACCAAGCCTAATAGGAATAATACATTCATTCGACTAAAGTAGTATTATTGAAATACTCCCAATATAATTCTCAAATTACGATTTGAGCTCCACTTTCTAATATATTCGATTTACCTCCACATGTTTAAGACAAAATTTGCGTCAATCTATTTAATTACTGATAATTAAATTAAACAAATGTTATAACCGTAGCTAGCACTGTTCAATCATTATTATTATATCGAAATTAAATCTACATGCAGGTTTAACATAAATCCTTCTGAACTCACTTCCGGAGACATCATCAAACCTCAACATTGTGAAGTACATTGTAACTGTAAATATTATAATAGAACACAATGTCATGTTGGAATAACTACCCAACCCAGACAGTTATTGGTTCATATCAATAAACCTCACCTTGGTGAATCAAAGCAGTAATTACTACATACATGTGTTTGTTTATATCTTATGGGTTAAGAGAACGCAGTAATTAGTTGAGTCTAGTTCGTTTCACCGATCAGTATAAAATGAACTACTCCTCTGTGGGATCCATTCAATACACCAATGTGTACTTGTGAAGTACATGGTAACCGTAAATATTATAATAGAACACAATGTCATGTTGGAATAACTACCCAACCCAGACAGTTATTGGTTTATATCAATAAACCTCACCTTGGTGAATCAAAGCAGTAATTACTACATACATGTGTTTGTTTATATCTTACGGGTTAAGAGAACGCAGTAATTAGTTTAAGCTAATCAGTCAAGATCAACTGTACCGCCCACACTACAACCATTCCAATGGATTGTGCAATTTCCATCTAGGTTGTGAATCAATTATATATGTTTCGCAAGTAATCGATAAATGATCTTTTGTCTATCCGTGATGAACCATTTATTTAATTGCAAAACAATAGAACATAGAACTTTATTTAATCAAACATGAATTTGGAATATATCTTAAATAAAATAAATAATATTTCATACTAAATATTTTCTGAAATTTAAAATAATATTACAAATTCTTATACTTTATTATTAATTATTTATTATTTTTTTAAGAATTTTATTCTTTTAAAATTCTTTGTTGCACAATTACTGTTTTCCTCAAACAACTATGTAGTACACGAGCGTTAGTACTAGTTATTTTATTTTCAAAGTCTCACATTACTAATGATTTTAAATATAATATCTATATCCATATCACTAAATTTGTATTGACAAAGCAAAAAGTGAGAAAAGTAAAAGAGAGAGAAATAAAGGATAGGTCGGTAGAGCTCCATTGAAAACCAAAACTGTGATTTCTGAGACAGTGTTAACCAACATGCTTGTGAGATCAAGTACTTTCATCCCATCACTCTCCGCCGCTATTACTGCACGCACAGCAAACAGCTACATCACACGCCGACGACCTGCTCGACAAAATGCCACAGCCGCCAACACCAACACTTCCCCGCCACTTTCACTTCTCCACCAACTCCCCCCCAAATCCGCCTACGTCCACCTCCCCTTCTGCCGCCGCCGCTGCCACTATTGCGACTTCCCCATCATCGCCCTCGGCTCCGACCAGAACACGAGCGGCAGAGATGACCCGCGAATCTCCAGCTACATCGGCACCCTGTGCCGGGAAATCGAGGCCACGGCCTCCTCGGGCCAATCCCTCGGCACGGTGTTTCTGGGCGGTGGGACCCCCTCGCTTGTACCGCCTCGCCTCGTCCGCTCGGTCCTCTCCGCGCTTTCCGCCAAGTTCGGTGTGCGAGCGGATGCGGAAATCTCGATGGAGATGGACCCCGGCACGTTTGATGACGTGGCGCTCAGGGATTTGATGGGTTTTGGCGTGAACAGGGTTTCGCTCGGGGTGCAGGCGTTTCAGGACGAGCTGCTGAGTGCGTGCGGCCGCGCCCATGGCCTGCGTGAGGTTCGTGAGGCCATTGAAATTGTGAGGTCGTGCGGGGTCCCCATCTGGAGCTTGGACCTCATATCATCGCTCCCGCATCAGACGCCAGCCATGTGGGCCCAGAGTTTGAGGCTTGCAATCGAGGCTGGGCCCACGCACATTTCCGTCTATGATCTGCAGGTGGAGCGGGACACCAAGTTTGGAGCCCTGTAAGTCAAGTTCCCAACCAAAAACTATTTACCATCTCAACTTTGCACATTTTTTCAACTAACTGTACATCCTTT